ACTTCACTTCTAATTCCTGAATTTAGAAATATTCCAATTCAGTTCTGACTATCCAATACCTATATCTCTATTAATTTTTCTCCTATTGTTTATAGTAGAAAACAAATTCAGGCAATAGCACTTTAGCTGGGTCGAGAGCTATCTGTTAAATGAAAGACAGTATACATTCAATTACAGATTGCCTTAAACAACAACAAAATCATAAACACACCTACGCATCACACACTCAATCAACACAGGGACCAGGTCCTTGCTGTAAATACAAAAAGAGTACTTTTATGTTATATATTTAGCACATATGCAGACTAGTTATCTGCAACTTATAGATTTTACAGCCACAAAGATGAAATGGTCAAAACTCATCCCTGAATTAAACAAATTGATTTCCATCTTTACCCATTTACCAAAATAATTTGTAACGAATGAGAAACAAGAAGACGCAAGGCTGGGATGTCATACAATCCATATATTAACTCAGTCAGCAATAAATCTCCCCTTCCTCTCCAAGCTCTCTACTACTTTCTTAAATAGCTCACTATAAAACCTCAACCTAATTAAAAACAGCTTTCTTGGCAACAGTGGCCTTGATTTCACTTATTTACACATTAACTGCAGCCTCCATTTGGCCAATCCAGTCTATTCCCTGCACCACGCAGGGCCTTTTATCTGCCCTGGACAGCATTTTCTTCAGCAGATGAAGTAGATGCCGATTGATTTGCTGTCGAGCATGGTAAATTAATAGCAACAAATTGCTGAGGGCCCCATCTCACTGCTCCACCATGCTTCGGCAGTTTTGCTTTATTTGCTGCATGATGGGCAGCAGTCAGGCCTCTTCAAGTCAATTTCTTCTTAACAACCTGCAATACTTTTCAATGGTGAAAATAGAGCCGTTCCTTGTAAGTCAGAAATCAATATCCTATTGCCCTTAGAAAATGCTAAACAAGCAGTATTGGCAATCCACTTGGTACTAGAGGGTATCAGATATAATGCAAATCCATACCGCTTCCCTCCTTGTAGTTATTACAGTTTGCTAAAAGGTTCCTAATGCCATTTATCATCATTTACCATCAACTACAGCAGCTATGATTATGATATCCTATCAGCTAGCAGAGCCCTTTCATTTCTATCCAATTAATATTTTAACAGCACTCAAATGGTTCTTGCACAAGTCTCGTAATAAAATTTACATGGATTGGACTGAAACATGGGGGTTTCTTCTGTGATTAAAAAAAGTCTTTTCATTTATTTTTTAATATCCAGCTTCTTGAAGATCTGAACTTTCTCTCAAAAATACTAAAATCCTACATTTTTTCTCCAACAATTAGTTCAAAAGCAGAGGTGTAACCAAAAGAATCCCCATTTATAGTCTGCCACCTCCAAACACATAAGCAAAATTAAAAGCGAAAGCTGTATCCTATTCATACTCTCCATCAGTCCCATTCACATATGTCTGTTGTCTGCAGCCAAATATAGACGCTTGTTTTAAGGGATAATTACAATACTGAATTAAAACCTTCAGAAAGCGTGTTTGATTATAGCAATTTAAATAAACTGTTTACCATAACATTAAAACTGCCTAATTTAGGAAATTAAACCAAATGACCAACAGCGGCAAGTGGCAACGCTGTAGTAGAAAAATAGGGCAGCACATCAACTATTCATTCGTAAACTATCCACTGAGCCTCTTAAAAATAAATGTTAAAAAAGCAGCTTAGTAAGAAATGAGCATTTCCTATCTAATTCAAACACTCCCATTTATTCTAATATGGAAATCTAAGATCACAGGGAACTACATATTCCTATTGAAGCCTACAATCCCTACCTTTTTATCTTTTCCCTGGAATGTGCTTATTTAAAAGTTTTACTGATCTAGGTTACTATTTAGGTTACTATTTTAGAATATATCGCCACATGTCACAACATACCCCACACACATCTTTAAAAAAATACAAACGACTAATTCTACCAGGCTAATGTTATTTACTCAGTTACCAAAATTTAAATTAATTATGTTCTCAAACATAATTGTTAAAAATTGGCAACATTATGCAGGCTTAATTAAGATTAAATCCAATTTACTAAATGTACTTTAATTGGTACTAATTACATTAGCTTTCCTTTCAGAATGACAAATTCCCCATAGGTTTCACTTTAATAGTCTTCTATCAAAATCAACGCAGGATGACTGATGATGAGCATCACATGATGGGTGGGAAAAGAAATGTTCTTCTTCCCTCCTTCTCTCCCCCCTAGTACATCCATGCACACGCACACACTATCACTGCTCTGTGCGTTTATCCTTTTATCAATTTGCTAAGTCACAGAGTCATGACTCCATCACAGCCATCATTTTCTGTTCCAGTGAAAAAAAATCTCTAAAAATAAATACTCTGTGGCTGGGAGCAGCCAAGAAGAACAGAAGCTTTAACAGGAAAATACACAAAGGTTTCAAATATCAGGGCCACCAATTACTAGGGTACTTCCAAGGACTCCAGGGAGTCCTGCTCTTGAACCCTTTGAGGCACAAATCTAATAAGTGAGTAAGCCTAACTTGATCTTGAGAACTAGGCCAAATTATGCCGAAGGGCAACTGCACTGCATTATTGCCTGCTTTCCATTACAAGGGCATCCAGTGAGTACATCTGGAAAAGAACCTAAAAGGAACCAAGGCGGTCTGCCCAGAAAAACAAATAAAGACAGATATGCCTCTGTGCTAAAATGAAAAAAAAAAAWAAAATAAAAAAAGAAAGAAAATATAATAAGTAGGTGGTTTGCAGAGCTGTCTGTATTTCATAATGTGATAAACTGCCCTCAGGATTTTTGATATGATTGAATTTAGAAAGCTTAAAAAAAAAAGTGAATCATTCAATTTCAGCTGGGCACAGTTCTAAGATCAAGGAGGAGGAAAAAGAGGAAATTTAAGGTGGAAGGCTACAAAGGGCTTCACACACATCAAATGAAATAATTGACACTAGATACACAAAAAATGGCCTTAACATTGAGATCCTAAAATAAAATGCAAAGTATTTTGTAGTTTTTAATAAAAAGAGAAAAGGAAAAAAAATGCTGGGTAGAGGGCAAAGCATGAAAAATATAAAACAAATCAGATGTAAGAATGACAGCAAACAAGTTTCTTATTTGCAATTAATTTCAACATTTAGCAAAAATATTCAAGTATTTTGTCTGACAGTAAAATACTTACAAGTTCAGTAATGGAAAATGATTTTTAATTAAAACGCAGTCCTTTGTAATCCACAACTTTTTKTTTTGAATTAACTATTTAATTTCTCCAGAATATTGTATACTAAAATGCATAGAGATTCTGAGCTATTTAGAATTCAGAAATTAAAAGGATTTTGTTTTCCTTTTTCCCTCAAAAAAAGTAGATCTCGCATACATACAGCCTTAGTTCTACTTTCAGGATTTTGCTGCAAAAGCTGCTGTAAAAACAGAGTATCTAGATAAATAAACAAATTTGACTGCAGTGGCTGTCTTCAAACGCCTATGATAACTTGCTGTGTAGGTGGCCTGTGAGGACTCTGGACTTTATGAATTGTTTTTGTATCTACTACTTTGGCTTCTTTTAAGAGTATCTGAAATAATCTACCTGTTCATTTGAGAACAGCTCCAAAATGTCTGAGAGTTAATGAATAGTCATTCCACTACTACCAGCAACCTAAATCAGGTCCAGAGAGTAACTGTGTAATTAGAATTTGATCAGCTTGAGGAACAGGCTTTTTCTCTCAGTTGTTTTTTAAACACACTTGTTGAGTCTTCATGGGTAGGATCATATTCATGAACAGTAYGTTGGAGCTCAACAGGGTACATGGCTGTCTGTACGATAACATATTTGTACAAAGTCCCATAGGTTTGGATCTGCAGATCACAACATGGTAAGGCAGGAAATTCCACTGTCTTCATATTTGTACGCCATCTAGCACAAATGGTCCTAATCAGCAATATTTTACTGGGATGCTAATGGCATACAAAGTACAAAAAATAACACAGAAAAAACATTTGACTTACATGTTTGTTCTCAGCAAGGTAAAGAATTCCTATTTCCACAACCCAGAAAAGTTCCAAATCCCTTACTTTGAACAGAAATGCATGCAAACCAATTTTAGGATGGTCTTTCTTCTTCCATCCAACCATTTCTTTATTTCTGCAGTTTACACTGCCCAGCAACACTGATGAATTGCTCAACCATTTGCTAAAATGAGTTGTCAGTATTAAACTCCCCCACATAAAAAGTTCTCTCACTAGAAAAGAGGTCAGATGTTTAATTCATTCTTCTCTAGAGAAAGCTAAAAACACACACTACTGAATAAGGAATTCTGATTTACACTACTGTGCTGCATCCGACTTATCTCCTGCTAATCACGGCCTAAGTGCTAGACTTCAAGGCACAAAACTGAGCATGCTAACATCCTCAAAGAAAACTCATTTTCATTTTAGAGCTGGAGTTACTAAGACACTATTTTTGGACAAAGGTCCAAGCAAGCAGCTTGTGGAAAATAGGAATATGTAAGTTCATCTATTCGCAGTTCCAGTTTATATCTGTCCAAGTTAACTGAAAAGCAGTGTTTCTCTACGCACAATTCACTGTCCTTTACACTTTATATACTTTTACGATGTAGCTATTCTTCTGAGAGGTAGACCTCAAATGTTACAGGTTAGATAGATCTTAAGTGAAAACCCACGTTCCCCTCACTACTCGCACAGCTCCTGTTTGCAGTAAGACCACTTGTGTTTGTGGAGATCACATGTGTAAAGTCAACATAGTAACACAAAACTGGGAGCGACCACAGTAACCTACCTAGGGCCACGTATCACACACAAGATATATGTATGAGATGCGTTTCAGGGCACGATGGAACACAAAAAAATCCAGTGCACACAAGCATGCAAGTAAACCAACTCTCACGCAGTACACATCTGTTTTAAGACTGATGGGAGAAATTACATAGAACATTCTTACACAAAGCAAAATATTTGCCTACCTGCTTATGCATCTCTATATTCAGCCCATAGGACATCTCGTAATACTGCGAGAGAAGAAAATAGCTCTGTTAGTACTCGAAATCATGAAAGTCATTCCAAAATTAACTTTGAATCAAGCATCATCTGTACAAAGACCTACAAAATATTTACGAGCGTTGAAAAGCTCCCATAATTTGAAAGCACATTTCAGAGAAATCTTTTTTTTCTTTTTTTGCTTTGCAGACATTTATTGTCAAATTTACAAAGAACAGTCATAAAAGCAAAAGACAGACAACAGCAACAAAAAAAAAAAATCACACCAGAGTTAAAGATTAGGGCAGAGAAAACTCATAGGAAAAGCTCAAGATTTTATTCCCTAGAACAGATAGAAGATGCCAAAAAAATGCCCCAAGTACTTGAAACCAGACACACATATAAATCAGCCATGTCTAACAAAATGGTTATTTAATATTTTAAATTAAAAACACACACACAMARAAAAGAAAGATACAAGTAAGTTGCAGGGATGCAAAAATAATATGCAAGGGAACTAAAATGCAGGGCCAAAGCAGTTACTACATTCTAAATATCTCCTGCTATGTACGCCTCAGTATTAGTGGGAACTCAGTTCACTGTGTAACACTGGTACCAAGCAACCCCCAAAACTTAAGCATATCAGAGGAAAAAAAAAAAGACAAATGCAAGCCTCAGCATCCGCTTGTCCTCTTGGTAAGGTTTCTTTCAAAGCTACACACCCTTCTCGTAAATATAAGAATGATAATTGCCACATACATATGGAAAACAGCTAAKCCTTCACAGACGTACAAGATCGCAGATAGCAAGAGCTTCTCTGGATACACCATGATCCATCATGCAATTATGTATTTAGAGATTTCTTCCTATGCAACTTACTTAATCAGACAGGCCACAACAGCTCAGATCCCTGACAGTGAATTTAGCGAAACAATCAGATAGCAGCCCATAAGATTCACTTGTTCTAAGAAGTAGGCTCCAGCTTTACATATATGTATACAAAATATTTTGATTCAACTTCTTCACGGAAGAAGGATTATTCTGAACTGCTTTATGGAGATAGGATAGTTGTGAAAAATCAGTAGAGCGAACATCATCCCTAAATATGCTTAAGAAGTCGCGCATGCCTTTAAAGGGCTGACCAAGTAATTTGCTACCTTCTTGAAGAAACATTCACAATTCCTYAAAACACTAAAAAGCAGCTTTTGCACAAAAATCAATTTCTACAAACAAGTTATAAACCCCCGAAACTACGGATTTATAACAGAAACAACAGAAACAACCTCAGCAAAAGCGGCACTGCTCTAATAGCCTGCAGCAATTCAAATGTATTTCAGTTTCGGTATATATCAAGTTAATAGACATTCTGAAATTTGTTATGCAGCTTGCTTACCATGACATAATGTCGCTGCATCTCTGTCTTCTCACTGGCCAGCTTTTCACATTCTAGCTTTAAACTGTACAACACCAGGAAAAAAATAAATAAAAGGGGAAGGGAAAAGGGGGAAAAAGGTATGAGCAGTTATAAAGCAAACTTGGCATGCTCCTGGGCACACGCCTGCTCCCGTTCCCAAGCGTTTTCCTCGCCGGCAGACGACACCCCGCGCCCCGGCCGCTGGCGGGGCTTAGGCGGGGGTTAGTCGCGCTCCTCCGCGCGGGGAGCCGGGACCCGGGGGAGGGGAGCGCGGGCGGGAGCGCGCGGGCACGGCCGCCTCGCGCCCGCCGACACAGGACCGCTCGCGGCGCCGCGACCCGCTTCTCGGGGCTGGTATTTCGGCGAGTTTTATGCAGCACCTCTCGCCTCCGCTCACACCGCAGCGCAGCCAAACGCGTCGACACTTCACGGAGCGAGAAGTTCCGGGCAGTGGGGGGGGGGCGAGGAGAGGTTGGTTTTCTTTTTTCCCTGTTTTCTTTTTTCCCTGTTTTCTTTTATTTTTCGCTGGGTTGTCGCGGGCAGGAGGGCACAGCCAGGGCGCGCGCCGACCCGGCGGCTGGCGGGGCTCGCAGCTCCGCGCGCGGCGGCGGCCGCTGGCACGGCGGGCCGCGCGCGCAGAGGGGAGTTAGAAAGAAGGGGGAAAAACAAAAGAGGCAGCAGCGGAAAACACTGCCGCCGCGTTTCCCACGGAGAGCTGCGGGCGCTCCTGCCGGGACGGCCGGCGGCGGGACGGCACGGGACGCGACGCGACGGCGGCCGCGCGGGACCGTTAGGGGCGCGGGGGACCGTTAGGGGCGCGGGAGGGCGGCCGTTACCTGTGGTACTGCGCCTGCAGGAACTGGAACTCCTCCTTGATGCGGTCGCAGGACTCGGAGATGGTGAATTTAAAGGGCTGCGCTGGCTGGTGCGGCGCCTGGAAGCGACCGAGAGCCGCTCCGTTAGGCGCCCCCCGCGCCTGCCCGGCGCCCCCCGCCGCCCCCCGGCCCGGCCCCGGCGCGGGGCGCGGGCAGCCGCGGGAGGCAGAGGCCGCCGCGGAGCCGGGCACGACAATAAGAAAATGGCTCCAAGGCGGCGGTGCCGCGGCCGTGCCCCCGCGCGCCCGGCGCACTCACCGGGTGCCGGCTCTGCGGGTACATCTTGCTCAGGTCGCGAATCATCCACGCCGGTCAGCGGGCGGCCGGAGCGGCGCGGCTCATGGGCTGCGGCGGCAGCGGCGCCGCGCTCCCCGCCGCCCCGGGGCTGGCGGGGCAACCCCCGCGGCG